AAGGCGAGCATGGGATATTGAGCTGTTTTAGGATTTCCGGCTCGATATATATAAAAGAATTTTAATTAAGCCAGCCTGGCATTTTGACCATTTGTCATACTGGCACCTCGCCGTGACGGCCTGGCAAATGATCGTCAAAGGGACTAACTATAATTATCAAGAACGATTTCAAGCGAAGTTATGAAGATCTCGGCCGGAATTACATTTAATCGTAACAATTGCGAAAGTAGATCGTCGAATTTATTAAAGCTGAAAGACCAATAGCTAAAAGAGTTGAGAAGTTTGGAAAAAATTTGGCGAAAGATTACTACTATCTATTGAAAAACACCTAAATACGTTTCAGGTAGTGGCAAATATACTCGTTATAGTAGGCACCTTCTTTTGGTCAATGTAGAAATATTAGAATTAGGTCATGCATCAATCAAAATATTCGCCAAATAGATTTGCTTTGATAATATACTCCAGACGAGAATTATGACAGGTCGTATTCATAATATTTTTCCTAATTTTTTCTACGTATAATCAATCATATTATTGCAAATGGAAAATTTGAAAGCCTTCTTGATAACAGATTAAGAGATTTATTTAAAGAAATATCTTATCGCTTACTTTGCAAGGAACGGTATCAATTCGTGATGAATGCTATGGTCTCAAACCAAATAAATCGAACACTATTCAAGAGACGAATATTGAAGGAAAATTAAAATTCATCGTGCAATAAAAATAAATTCGGTTGTCAAAATTAATAATTTTTTTTTGTTTTTTTTCTTGAGAATGATTTATTTGATAAATTCTTTATCGTTTTTCAGCTTGGAATGAATGTTCTAATAGCAATCTGTAATACATTTGTTTATTATTTTTAATTATTATATATTTGGTAAATTACGCAACATTAATTTTTTTTTAATAAATTTGAGTATACGATCGAGAAATGTGATGGAGAGTTACCAATTTGATGTCCTAATTGTAATGCAATAAATTGGTAGAGGAAAATGAGCAACTGGATTTGAAACTTAGCTATAATATGAAAATTAAGTATTTTTGTTTATTTGCAACTTCATAAATTCGTATCGCAAATATTGTTTTGCTTGATTTTAGTTTGAAATTTCATTCATAAGAAATATACTAAAAAATGTTGACTATGTTTTTATGAAGTCATTACATAGAAATTAAAGCAACGATTGATTGAACCCAAAAAAGTAGCAATATAAAAATAAAGAAATTTAACAGTTTTAAAAAAAAAATATTGTTTTTCTGATTTTTTAGATTAGGTTCTTTATTAAACCAATTGTAAAATTATTATAATAAATAGCAGAAGTTCTTAGATAAAAACTTTATAAGTTTAATTTCTTATAAGAGAAGAGAAAAAATTAATTTCGTTGAAAAGTTATATATTAATATATATATGTTAATGATGTATTAGTCTTTTTAAACGATTTTTACATAAACATATTTTAAGGCACATATTAATTGAATTAACAAAACCAAATATTTTGAGTTAGTTGCTTTATAATGAATGATATACTTTTTTGATAATGGAGAAGATTTTTTTTTTTTAAAAAAAAAAGATATTATTCGATAGTAAATGGATTTTTTTTATGTTAAGATTATCTTTAACCTATAAGCACGTAAATATCAAGTACTATAAGGTTATTCTAATCTGCTAAAGAATTTAAGTATTTAATTATAACAATTAAGCTTAAGAAAAGGTTAAATTCTGAAAGTTGAGTAGCAGTAATGTTGTAGTGTGATTAAAACCTTTTAATAGTTAGAGTATCATCCAAATTTTTAAAATAATTACCTCGTTAAAAAACCTTTTAGATATTTTGAGAATTTTTTATTCTTTTATATCGTGATCAATTGTATTTTGATTTATAATATATTTATAAACTCCTTCTGCTATTTTTGTTAAGCTTATGAATATTTAAAAAGCTCACGATAATTAAAAATTATTAATTTGACAACTGATGTTATTAAAGATAAATTCATCTATAATATCATTGTAAAATCAATAGTAAATTAATAATTTTTTTTCATTTTCTACATTGAGATTGATTCATAATTCCAAAAATCATATATAGTAATCCTCTGTAAATTCTAAAGCAAAGTGAACACTATTTTGAACAATTCGTTGCAAATTTAAGTTCCTTTACTAGTCAAGAAAACAACCATCCTACGCTCTTGCTTTAAAGAGCCTTTTGAAATCGATCATGCGGTAAGAAGTGTATTTGATATCTTTCTTAAATATGTAAACTTTTTTGACTTTAAAAGATGATTTCTTGGCGTTCCAAAAATAATGTTACGACATTTAGGTGAATATCAAGGCAAATTAATTGATTGACACTAAAGTACTCCTTTTTGTAAGCTGTCAATTTTTTTCTGCGCTCACAAAGTTCTCATTACTGAAAAAAGAAAACTTGAAGGTTCAGGAGAGAAAAAAATGAGAGCGACGCAAAAAGGTAAAAAAGGGTACGTTTTTAATTTCTTGTAATCTATAGTTAATTTCTTAGTTCCGGAGACGATATTTATCAATGCTCAAAATATCATGGTCAACATAAAGAAACTTTCAGAGGATACCGTAATGTACTCAAATCCAAAAGATATCCATTAATTACTATTTCTATTTCCTGGTCAAAAGAATCTGGTAGAGAGTAATATCTAAGACAGCATGCAGCAATCACATGTTTCCTTCTTCGCAAAGAATCATGTACTATATCTTCCCAATTGTCATCAACTGGCAAAGTATAACACTGGAAAACATTGTGGATTCTGTAAATCATTCGGATTGTTATATTTAATTGTAGACCAAATGAACGCTCTGGAGATAGGGAAGATACTGCAATTGATTCAGTAACAAAAGCCAAATGGGTGCAAACCATTTTTATATTAGAACTTATTAAGAATTAACATATCGATATTGTATCAAGTTAATGATTACTATTTACGGAAGGTAAGATTAAAATGCTTTATTTGTGTAATATCAACTTTAGAAAGAGATGAAGAAATGGTGGAATAAACACAACTCCGATTTACCATTAATGGATGATCAAAGATAGGATTGAACACATTACTGGTTGTTAGAATTTGAAGAAGCATTTGGCTATCTAAGTCAACAATTGACATTAAAGATAAAGAACCCAATGATTCACATTTCACAAATCAAACCGTATCACAAAGCGAAAATTTGGAAATGTATATATATTATTTTAAATTTAATGATTATCTAGATGAAGTCTAACTTCCAGTTTACACAGCAATGTGGTTATTACGATTATCGATTCTTACATTAAA